AAATAACTTAAAGTTAGACTAAAATGTTTTTGCCAAATAGCTTTGAGGTGAAAAACCCAAGAAGATAATCTAAGGTTTTTAAAAGGCACATAGTTGAACATGCAGAACTCTTTAAGGTCAGGGAACAAGAACAAAGCAGCCCAATTACTATTAGCTGATGCACATTTCTTGCTAGGATTAGTTGATGACCAAAGGTGATTGCTAATTCCTTGTGCCCATTTTTGCCCTCAATCTCTCGATATAAGGAACTATGGATGAGTGGGTATGCACCCCAAAGATTTGAAGTAGAGCTAAGGGTTATTTTTCATATATAAAACTTTAGGTTTGTGATTCCTTTAAAATTTCTTATAAGATTACCTTTTAATATAAGTAATAAAGTAATTGGCCCTTTTTTTGTAACTGCAAAATGGAGCCTACCAGTAAAAGACCTGGCTGGGAAGAATACCTTGCTTGTCCACATGGCTAATCTATATCAAGTTGCTTGGGTATGAATGTATGTGGGTTCTTGGGATAATTTCTTTATTACCTATAATACATAAAATGTTTATTCATGTAAGGGATATGAAAAGTGTGCTGTTTTTTACCTTTTGTTTTGTATTCATTCACTTGAAAAACATAATGTAATCACATTGTAAATTTTTATATTGCCTGAAAGATTTTGCTGTGGTATATAAGCTGTAAGAAAAAGAGTGAAGAGAGAGATAGAGAGAGTTAAAATGGGCTAGAAGGAAAACATCAAGAATGAATTAGAAGGACCTAGAAGGGAAACATCAAGAATAAAAATAGAGTTAGAAGGGAAACATCAAGAACGAGAGAAGGAAATCATCAGGAAAATAAAGAACAGAGAATGCAAAACAAGAATAAAGACAAGATCTGAAGAAAACCATCAAGAGAGTGTATGAGTGTAGATGGACAGCCTTATTAAATAAGAAACACAGCTGACCTCTTGGGCTTTTAACTCTGAATTTGGCTCTGTGTTTCTTATTTAATAAGACTGTTCATCTACATATGAGTGTCTTTTTCTCTAATCCCCTCAGATAAGAAAGTCTAGTGTGCCAACACTGTGTATTTCCCCTTGAGCCCTGAGCTGTCTGGAGGCTGGTTCCCCAGGCAGCGATAAAGCTACTAAGAACAAATCAGAAAAAAGTGACGAATAAAACCATACTGTTTTGTTGTGAAGCTGTCAAGAACACACAGACTAACTAAAACACACACATTTCATAATTCCAGAATGAAAAGGGAACTTTCTTACATAAATGAAAGATAACGAATGGACCCTAGATACTACTATCACTTTCCTAAATGGACATACTGTGCATTGCTTTCAGCCTTCCTCAGGGAAGTTTTTTTTTCTTCCACTGGGCAGCAAATAATGCAGACTTATGATTGTCCAATCTACTGAAAACAAATGTTGAATGATCAATACTAAATGATCAATCCTAATGTCTATCTACAGAGCTCTGGGAACAATGCTAAAGAGAAACTGGAAAGAATGTAAGACCCATCTGGGGAAGAGAGCTATGCCATGACTATGTGACAAAGCCATTGCACTAATAAATACAAAATGGCTGTGGTTACTTGCACAAGACCTGCACAAGATTCAGCCCACAGATGTGGGTGGAGCTTCTGAGAACCCATCCTCCATCAGGGATTATGGGCAGTTAATGGTTGATAGGAAAGGGGTTGTCATTTTCTTCAGTGATGGAGCCACTAAAAAACTGTCCAGCCTCTAGTAAGCAAATCTCCATGGAAACTGGTGCCAGCAACCCCAATTCCCCTCTGCGGGTTGAAGAAAAAGTCATGCGGAAGCAGAGGAACATGTCGGGAAGAAGGGAGTTATAGGGAGAGGGATGAGAGGATGATGGGGATGAAAAATACCAATAAATTCTCAAGGAATTTCAGATCAGTGGAAGATTTAAATAGGCCCTTGCTAATACTCACCTTAATGAAAAAAAATTTAAAAGAACAATAGACTAAGGGCATACTATTTTTGTTTCTCATGCAAAGGAAATACACAAAAGCAACTGAAAAAAGGAATACTGAAATGGAAAAGCATTATATGAGAAAATATCCAAGCTATTCATTCCTGTGTCACATATGGCTGTTCACACCATGGTGGTGAAATTAAATACAGAAGACAGACTACAAGGCCCACAGAATCGAAACTATGGGCTCTGTATCACTTTATGGAAAGTGTGGGTTCTCTCCTGGGTCTATCAAAATAGGCATGTAAGCTGACATAAGCCTAGACCCAGAATGCTGCAGGACAAATGAGAGGGCGGGATTTCCTGACTTCAGTTTCCCATCATCACTGAACTTTGTGTTTTGTACTTTTGGACTTCTCCAGACTTAGGGACTTGTTGCAGCCTGGTGCGATGTATTATTATATGTCACTTTTTCTAGGAAGTTCATGACCTTGACACAAGCTACCATTATACTCTATTCTTTCTTGTGTGCTTGACATATATACCACTTTTAATACTTGTCTCAAAAATGTTTTCATTACGTTTCATGTAAAAATATTTACATATTTCTAAAAATTAATTTTTTTGTGTGTAACTCTTCATGTTCTTCACTGGATCTCTTTACTATGCCTAAAAAACTGTACCTTTTTTTTCTTACCAAAACCCTTGGCAAACCACTTATTTTTACAACATGCTGGAAGCTTTTATTTTTATCTTTATTATTTCCTTGGTTATATTTTATTAACATATTTATTTCTATTACATGAACACTTTTGATTATAAGGCATTCTAGACTGACATTTATTTATAATTCATCCTGAAAACATCATTATATCTTCTCCCAGCTCCCTTTGCATCTGTTGCTGTATATATTGCCACCTCTTCCTTGCTCTTACCAGGTAACAAGTTTGTTTTGTCTGGCAAAATTAAGATTTGGGGTTTAAATTAATCTTCAGTGAGTATATTATGCTTGCATAATATTTTAATCGGATTTTTCTCTCTGGACCATGTATAGACAATCTTTTGAAAAAATATAAAAATATAAAGTATTTATTCAAATGGCTCCATTGCATGTCTTTGTCGTTTGACAAATTGTGATTGCACATGTTTTTCTAATCCATGGGGGCTGAGAGTTCCTTTATACTGTCTTCAGTGTTTTGCATTCCATTTTGAAATCATTTTACTTCAACTTAATTAATCTGCAAAAGTTTAAGTTTATTAATTTACCTCAGTTTATTGAGTTACTAACTTTACTATTCACTTGTATTAATGATTTTGAACCCAAATTTTTTTTTCTGGTGAATTTCCACAATTTTCACACAGACTTTGGAAAGTTTCTTGCTTCTCTGCATAACTAATTTGAAATTGCTAACCTGAAAACTCCAATCTGTGGCTGATATTTTTGTTTACTTTAAAAATCTGTTCTTTCTTTTGTATCCTTCTGTAGGGTTGTACAAGTTCAACATTTTCAATTTAAATTATGGATGATCTAGAATATAAACACCATACACAAACATACACACACACACACAGAGAGAGAGAGAGAGAGAGAGAGAGAGAGAGAGAGAGAGAGAGAGAGAGAGAGAGAGAGAGGTAGGGGGTGGTATGGAAGAAGAATATTGCCCTAAATACAGCAAAAGCTAAAACAAGAAAATTGCTAATATTCCAGCAAAGATCTGTCTCCATTTCCCAGTCTATAGTAGATATTCCCTTGTCTTTTTAAATTAAAGATTATGTCTCTTAGTAGGTTTTTAATTTTGTTAATTATTTTCTCCCTACATTGATATGGGAATTTTTTCTAATTTTTAAGTAATTCAATTTTTTCTCAGGAAACTAGTCCTGGAAATGTCTGAAGTGAAAAATAACAACCCTAGAGTATCAAAGCTTTGTGCTCATCTCTGTATACCCTAGCATAGTGTTGCCACAGATGTGTGCACTTATTTCTACAAATGTGGTTTGATAGTTCTGGAAAACAAAGTACAAAGAAAACCCATTTTTATTTTCCATAATGTTCTCCAGAATAGTGGTCCCTTAGTTTCTCTTATTTTATACCATGTATTTCATTTATACCAGTATTTCATTACCTTTAGTCTTACCAGCCCAATTGTGGGGCACAGATACATTAAAAATAAAAATTATATTTATTTTGGAGAAAATTACTTACACAGGGATACACACACACATATACATTTGCATATCCCTAAATATGCATTTATATATAACAATTCATGCACCTGAGGCTTGGGAATCATTGCAAAAAAGGAGAGAAAAGATTATAAAATCCAGGGGACAGGGACTGTGAGATTGTGTCTCCTAGAAATCTCATAATGTACACCCATAACTCTCACCAAGGCCAGTGTCTAAGTATGAGTTGGATAAGGACAGTACCAATAGATGTGTTAATGTAGGAGGGGGAAGCTCAGAAGGTCTCAACCCTATACAAAGAACTACAGTCAACTACGGAATGCTGAGAGAGAAAACATTTGTAATGAGCTGTTAGTAAGAAATAGTATATTTCCCTATTGATTTTAGGCAGCCAAATGTAATAAAATCTTTTTCCCTCTGTCTCTCTCTGCTTCCCTCCCTCCTGCCATGTATCGTTTAAAAAAACCCCACACATCTGAAAAAAGTCACACAGAAATACATAAAACCATGTGACAAACTGAGAGACTCTTTAATAAAACTATACAAAGGCAAAATCTACAATGAAACACATTTTAATATTAATATATACAGCTTAATAAAAAGTAGAGAGTTCACACTTGATCACATTTTACAGATCCTTACAAAGACACTAATAAAATTGTCTGCAGGCTGTCACAGAGTCCGAATGAAAATGACAAAGAAGATGGTCATGCATTGCTGAGTTTTCTCGGATAACTCTTTATTCTGAGTAAAGAATAAACAACTTTATTCAGTTTAGTATAAAGCTGAAAATATGAAGACGTTTAAGAATTCCTCATGTGAAGAAACTCTAGGATACTTCTATTAAGACAACATGTGACAGTCAACATTCTGGGTAGCTGCAGAAACTCCTCAGTAGAAACCATAGGACCAGTACCTTCTACAGCACAGTGGCCGGCAACAGCCGTAACCATAGCCACCATAGCCACCATAGCCACCATAGCCACAACCATAGCCTAGGCCACCATAGCCATAGCCCAGGCCTCCATAGTATCCGCCATAGTAACACATGGTGTTAGGAGTGGATTTTTCAGAGGAAGACCAGCAGTAGGATACTTGAGTCTGGATTTCATCATCTGCCAACGACCTTTTATACACCTGGGTGTTTGGTGGGGAAAACCACAGGTATTATAATGTCATACAAGTCTCCACCATGCTTCAGAAAACATCAACATGCCATGGTTGACTGGACTAACAAAGCTGCATAACTTGAGATAATTGTGCTCCTATGTCAGAATCCCATGGTCAAATCATGGGACTCTTACGTGAAATTCTGGTACTGTTTTCAAGACTCTGCTTCATTCTGTATTTAGTTTATTTAATACTTATGAATCTCTTCTGTGCTTCTATATTAATCATTGAAGTAGCACTCTCTCTTTTTTATTTCTGTTTGTTTTGTAATACTCCACAAGTAAAAGGTCTTTGTGTTTTCTTTTCTTGTTTGCTTTGTTATTATAGAGAAATTTTATCTGGAGGATTTTATTTCCCACATCTTCCTAATGAAGAATGATTTGGTTATTGGTTGTCTTATTGGTAACTTGATGACAGTTAATGTCTACATAAGTGTATTTTGGTTTTATTCTGGATGTATTCTATTCTCATATGTGCTTTCAAATCTTTCTGTGTCTGTTTTTGTGCTATTGTCATTTAGTTTTTATTACTGTGGCTCCTTGTTATAATTTGAGATCAGGTCTCATGACAAGTCCAGCTTCTTCCTTTCTGCTTTGTTATATTTTGGTTACTTATGCCTTCATATGACCTTTAGAATTGTGTTGTCTAGTTCTGTTAAGAATGTAATTGGAATCTTGAAGAAGATTGCATGAAATCTGTGTGTTGCTTCAGCAAATAGCCATTCCCATGTTATTAATTCTGCCAATCCATTGTTTCTTATTCAAATTTCCTTCACCAAAAATGGATGCTAATTATGTTAAAAAAAAAGTAAGCCAAACTGAGAAAAACAAATGCTGAGCTTGTGAGGTGGCTCTGTAGGTAAAGGCACCTCCCTCATGCCTGAGGATCTGAGTTTGATCTGAGCATTCCATACAGTAGAAGGAAAAAAATTCAGTCTCAAATTTTTTCCTATGCCTTCCAGGTTCATGATATGGCATATGCATATCCCCCAACCCAACACATACAGAAAGAATAAAATTTGAATAAAAAAATAAAAAGCCACAGATGTACAGGCCCCAGGGGAGAACTGATGCTAATTATTCTATTAAATGAATATATTAAAATCACTAATGACTTGTTGTTATACCAATTGAACAGTATATCCCTTAACCCCCACCAGAGAAGCTTTTTTTTTTTAATTTTAATTTTTTTATTTTTATTTTTTTTTGCCTTAAATGGCAGTAAACAAAGAGGCATGCCTCCCAGTTGGTTAATGTCCAGATGAAAGAAAATGGAGTTCGGAGTTCTAAGTTGGAAATCCATATCACATTCACACTCCCCTCTTTGTAGAAGAGGGGACAGGAAGACAGGAAGAGTCAGAGGTGGTGAATGACTTCAAGGGACACAACAGAGGAGATAGACACTTGAATCCATAATGACTGTGACAATATGGGTAAGACCTGAGAAAGCTCCAACCAGAAAAAACTCCCAGCATGCATGGAGAAAGGAGGTCAACCATTACTAGCTGAGGAGCATTTAGCATTTGCTAACATGGCTGCTGAAAGGCCAGTTTTTGTTACTGATACAACCTCTGGTAGCCCGACGACACACCAAAGCAGAATCCAGTGCAAGACAAGCTGGGCAGCACAAACTGGAGCCCATGGTGGGGGGATTAGAAGAAAAGTAGAATTCTCAAAGTTGGGTAGGAAGAGCAATGGGAAGATTAGGAATTGAAGGTGTGAATATTTTCAAAATTCATTGTATGTGATTGTCAACTAGTACAATATTTCCATTATTTTTCCTTTTATTGAAAATATTTTCTTACACAATATATCAGGATTGTAGTTTTCACTCTCTCTACTCCTCCCAATTCCTCCTCACCTCCCATTTCTCCAGACCCATTCCATGTTTGTCTGTCATTAGGCAAGAACAGACTTCTAATAGGTAACAACCAAACACAACCAAATAAAATATAATAAGCTAAAGCAACGACCATTATGTTGATATCAGACATGGCAGCACAACAGGAGGAAAAGAGTCCCTAGAGCAGGCAAAAGCATCAGTGACTGACTTATTCTCACACTCAGGAGTCTCATGAAAACACTAAGCTAAAAGCTGTCATACATATGCAGAGGACCTGGTGCAGACATGTGTAGGCCCTGTCCTTGCTGCTTTAGTCTTTGTGAGTTCATATGCACCTTGATTACCTGATTCAGAGGGACTTGTTCTCCAGTTGTCCTCCATCATATCTGGTTCTTACACTCTTTCTGCTTCCTCTTCCCTGGGGTTCCTTGAGCTTTCTCAGAGGAGGGATTTTATGGAAACATTCCATTTGGACATTCTCTTCATGTAATGTCTGGCTGTGAGTCTCTGCCTCTGTTCCAATCTGCTGCCAGAGGAAGTCTGTCTGATGATGACTAGATAAAGTACTGATTTATGAGTTGAGGTAGTTTGAATTTAATTGACCCCATAAGCTCATAGGGAGTGGTACTATTAGGAGGTATGTATGGCTTTGTTGGAGTAGGTGTACTCTTGTTGGAGGAAGTATGTCACTGTAAGGGTGGGCTTTGAAGTCTCATATATGCCCAACCCATGTCCAGTGCCTCAGTCCACCTCCTGTTGCATTCTGGTCAAGATGTAGGCAGCACCATGTCTGTCTGCATGCCGCCATGCTCCCCGCCAAGATGATAATGAACTGAACCTTTGAAATTGTAAGCAAACCAGACCAATTAAATGTTTTCCTTATAAGAATTGCCATGGTCATGGTGTGTCTTCACAGCAACAGAAACCCTAACTAAGATATAAGTATAACACAATCAATAGGAATTTATCTCTCTCTCTCTCTCTCTCTCTCTCTCTCTCTCTCTCTATCTCTATCTCTCTCTATCTCTATCTCTATCTCTATCTCTATCTATCTATCTGATATATATATTAGGTAGTGTTTGGTTTTACCCTATGTCTCTATACTATCTACTTTTATTTCTTGGTACAAGGCATAATGAGTATGTGTCATAGAGTGTGCCTTAAGTCAAGTCAGACAAAACTGAGTAACCCAGATCCAGGAAGATAAATATGATATGTATTTGCTTATTAGCAGATATTAAAAACCAAGCTACAGTACATCAATCCAGGTACAGAGGAAGTGCCACTGGGGGATACATGGACCTCCCTGGGAGGGGCAATAGAATAAATTTTATGCGTGGACTGGATGTGTGGGGACAGGCAGGGCAGTATCAGGCAGGGAGTGTAGGAGAGAGAGGGTAGAGGGAGTGAATTCCAGGGGATACAGCTGTAACTGAGGGGCATTTGTGGGATGATATGGAAACCTAGCGTGGTGGAAACTTTGTAAAATATATGAAGGTGATCCTAATGAGGTCTCCTAATAATGAGGATACAGAGTTTCAACTGGACATCTCTTTTCACCAAATGAGGCTTCCAGTAGTGGGACTGCGTTTCATTCAGTTGAATTGTTGGCCAAGTGATCCCATGGAAATGTCCTAAACAACTAATGCTGTTGCTAAGACAGTGGATTGTTCTCCACAAACTGACAGTTAGACCCCATTGCTGAAGACAACACCCACCCAAACCACTGAATATGGAGAAATGGAGCTGGTACCTACAGGGAGCCTTCAACTTTATGTTCTAGTGTTTTTGGCACAGGAAGATACTCTGCAGGCTACCAAAAGGGAAACATAAACACCAATCTAGCCACAAAACCATTGAATTACAATCATCCTGTATTGATGTAACTAACTGTCTTATTAAATAAGAAACACAGAAACAATGTAAAGGAGAAAGCCGAGAGGTCAGAGCTCAGAGCTAAAATCTCACCCTTCCGCCTGCGGTGTCCCAGCTTCCCGAAAGAGGGCTACTTCCTGTCTGTAAATCGATTTTCCAGTCATTCTGCCTTCTCATTGGTTGTAAACCCAAACACGTGACTGCCTCGTCACTGTCTGAATGTACAGCCCCCTAGGTCTTAAAGGCATATGTCTCCAATGCTGGCTGTATCCCTGAACACATAGAAATCTATGGGATTAAAGGCGTGTGCCACCACCGCCACACTCTGTCTATGGCTCTAATAGCTCTGACCCCCGGGTAACTTTATTTATTAACATACAATCAAAATCACATTTCAGTACAATTAGAATACCACCACAATCCTGTCTGCAAAATATGCTAGGGCAATGGTGGCACAAAATTTGTGGGAGTAATACAAATATTTTAAGTTAGAAAACATTTTAACACTAAAATTTTTTTAAAGGATAAATGTTACAAGGTTTATCTCATAAACCAACTCTACATTTAAATAACTAATGCCTATGAAATCTCAGTATGAGACCTAGTACAGAATTCATAAAAGACAAATGAGCACGGAAGTCCATCTGTAAACACAGCAGATCAAGTAGAGCAAGACAGATAGTCAGACTGACCAGAATGCCAAACACTAGCTCTAATGACTACTTAAATATGTAAAGTGGAGAACAATGGAGAAAGACAGAAGACCTCCACGTGGAAGCCTCCCACACTGGCATACTTGTTCCCATACACTTGTGTGCACACACAAGCGATACACACATACGACTCCACACAATCATGCATATGCACCTGCACATACATGTAAAGCACACATACTGATGTTACAAACACAAAAATATAAACCATTAAAGTACATAACTTCATACATTCAACTAAGAAAGTTTTATTTAACAAAACAAGCACCTGTATAAGAAGGTGATCCATACAAATGAAGAAAACAAGTACATCAGACGGAATTAATACATAAAATTTTTTTGAGGGGATGATATGCACGAGCAAGCTAAACATCCCAAAGAATATAAACTAATGCTAAAATGAGCTGAGAATTAGAACAGGCATTTTTCTTTTTCTTTTTTTTAATTTTA